TTGTGATTTGAATCACACGAATTACAATAAATAAATTAATTTATATTTAAGCTTAATATCTCTCTATTTTTCTTCTTTAAATGGAAATAATTTGTCTCTCTTATAAATGAAATTAAATAACATTGTGCTCAAACTATTTCTCCTTACAACCAATATTAATTAGAACATAACAGTAACATATAAATGTACATAACATTTATCATAGTATTAAAATAATTTGGTAAAAGCTTAAAATTGATGACTAATAAGCAATCAATAAGTAAATAAAAGTTACTGCCTCCTACTGTTTAGAAAGTTTTTTTTATACAATAATATTTTGTTAGTTTGTTTTTCCTAATAAACAAAGAAAAAATCGAGTATTTAGGCATTTTTCAACAAAAAATATTACAGTAATGAATGTGTGCAAAGTAAATTATATTATACCTACTTATGCACATAGCTAGGTATAATTATTAGCATTGAGAATTACTTACTACTAAGGATTTAGTTTGAATTCAAAATGTAGTGTTGTCGATTGATTAAAACAATAATATTGAGAAAAAAAATTAAATAAAATTTTTCTTAGTATATTTTTTTCTAGTTAGTTTTTCTCATTTTTTTTTTGCTTTTAATAAAAAGGCGAATCGTAATGAATGGCGGTCAATGTCAAGGTGAAATAAACGCGTGTTGTTAATTCTTTAATAATATAAGAATATTTATGTAATGTGGAGAAAATATTTATGAAAATATTAAAAAAAAATACTAAACAAATTATGTAGTATTGGTTAGAAAAATTTCTCTATTAGAAAAAAAATTTAAAAGATAAGCTGAAAAAGTTTTTCATGTGAAATGTAAAAGAGCTTTTTTTTTAAATTTTATATTATTACTCTATACATATAGGATATTATATAAATTCTAATTACAATTATTTTTATTATACAACGGTGTAGTACAGTTTGTGTTCAATATTGTTTTCCTCTTATTTCTTAAATTTAAATATTGGTTAAATATACAATTTAATTGAATACTAAAATTACCATTTAAGTGATTCTAAGCAAGTAACACTGTCTAAGCGTACAAAACTGGAAATGTATGGCACTTCCAGTATTTTCACCATGTTATACAAAAGAGTTGTTGAGTTAGAGAATTAGAATTTTCATAAAAAACAGAGGTGTTTTCGGAACCTAGGATCGAGATACTGAATCTAGGATAGTTAATGTACAGGTATGTCTATACTAAAGAAATTCTAAAAATTCTAGTCTTGAAACTAAAATATATGTACATCAAATTTTGTTTAAGAGATAAAAAGTTTATCTCTTCTGTCCAAAATCAATTTATGTGTGTATGTAGTTAAAATATTCTGCAAAGCAGTCGAAATTCACCAACACTCTCACACTACAATGCGAAATTCTGAAAATTCCTAAATATAGTTCCATGCATTTATACATTATAGACGTATTATGTTATTATTTTCTGTTTCTTTTATTTAATTTCATTAAAATTGTGCAATAAAACAATAATATTCTTTTATCATTATGTTTGCTGTTTTTTGCTTTTTCATTTGGAAATTTTACTTACATATTATGCATAATCAAATAATTTTCTTAACACTTGAAATGTTTCATAGTCTTATTAAAAAATATAAAAAAATTGTTTGTACACATAATGCCATGCCTAAAACAGAAATAAAAATAAAATTTATATTCAAAGGGAAAACATCAATTTTTAATACATAATAAAGTTTAAGTATTTATATATTTATCCCATGTACAAACATATATAAATAATTACATACTTATTATATACTTAATGTACATTACACGTTCACCTTTACCTTTAATTTAATGTTACCTTTAACATTAAAATTTCAAATATAAACTAGTATTTATCATACTGCACACATTAGATTCAAAAAGTTTACATTTTACATTTTATAAAAATTTTAAATATTCAATTTAATTATAAAGTTTTAAAAAGAATTCTCGAGTTCGCCAATAGTTTAATGCTAATAATTTTTCTTCGGTTGTACCATAATTTGCTGAAAATTTGTGGTATACGGCGACCTCGTAGAAAAATATGTACATATTATCATTTTGTTCCTATAGATAAATCTCGATCTGTCATGTAAAGCCATTAAATAACTACATACCTACATACATTTACCTATTGTGAATAAAATTGGATGAGAAAAAAATTTAACGTAACGTAACGTAAATATTTCATTTGAATAAATTTTGACGTGACAAAATTGATATTTGTACGCGAAAACTTAATTTTCAAAATTTTGTTCCGAAAATTCGTCTGTGTACTTTTACAAATTTGAACATAAAATATGTACATATGTACATATATGAATGTATTTTAATTATCGTACATCTTTTTGGTTTGTAAAACATTAATTAAATCTAATAATTCCATGTTTAATATCCTAGCATCAAAGATTTTGTATTTTATAAAAGAAAAGAAGAAAACAATCACCCCGAAAACCGGTTTTCGCTTTTATATCATCAGCTTACTAAAACTATTTTGCCTTCCTTTCTCACTACAAAACTCTTCTTTTTTAATCGAGTAGAAAACTTAAGTCAAGGTTAAAAGTAACTCATACACGTTTATAATTTTATTTATATACATATTATGTGCTTATATACATACTATTTGCACGCAAAATTTCTAAAAATAGCTTCTTATTTTATTTTTATTATTTTTTTAACATTATTTTTAGAATAATGTTTTAAACTCTGTGTGATTTCAATTACGCCTGCTGAAAACCAGTTTTCTGTTCAATTCTATGCTACTAAATGTTTCATTGTTTACTTTTTTTTATGCTTGCATACGAAACATAAGTAATGGGACTCTATGTAGTTGATATAGACTTAAAGACTCCAAATCAAATAAAAAAACAATCAAAATCAAGTGATCATAAGATTGCCTACTATACATGCGTAAAAGTGCACTTCATATGCACTAACACAAACTTAAATTTTTGTTATTCTGTTATTTAAGAAAAAAACAAGATCCATTTGCTATAAGATAATGCTGAGCACAATGCAAACACTCATACATAATTATATAAAAATGTGTGTTATATAAATGAAATATTGTAGCAATTTTGTTTGTTTTTTAACGAAAGACCTAATGATTCACTTATCTTTAACCAGAAAAACAACCGCAGACAGGTTATATAACTTAATGCTGTTCGTTGCTTTAAAACATAAAACCGGCCGGCGGCTTATATGTTTCTTTGTTTTTTTTTTTCATCTTTTTATTTATTTTATTTTACAGCTGATTCTAAATAACAATAACAAAAAATAAAAATGTGAAAAAGAAGTATGTGTTGAGTTTAAGCGTACCTTAAATATGATATATAAGCAGTATATATACAGATATACAAATAAAAATAAAGGTAAACGTAATAATACGAGTAATTGCGTTGTTCTTAAGCACACTGTTGAAAATAGTGTTGGGAATTTGAATGATAATTTCTTATTTATGTAAAGGTACGAACTTTATTGCTGAGAAGATGCAGCATTGAGTATAGTCGTTTGTAATCTGTTTGAATTCATCAATCAAATATAAATTTCGTTAGCAGAATTGTACTTTTAATCGGTTTTGTGTAAGATTTTTGTTTTTATAGATTAATAATACTAATCGAAAAATTTAAATTTTAAGAAAATCATGTTTATTTTCATATAAACTTGAAGCCACCTATCGGAAAAAATCTATATAACTCTACTCAGAATAGTTGACTTTTAAACTGTTATACATAATGTATAACACTTGCAATTAACATAAATTTAATACAAAGCTGAGGTAATGCTATAGGAGTTTCTTATTTTTGTATTCTTTTAATTTTAAGTTCAGGTTAATGAATTGAAATCAAATCTTATATTATCGTAATGCCCTGTGTATATAACGTATTATAGGTATGTACATATATTTATATAAATAAATTAATAAAATAAGAATAAAGAAATATTTAAAAAAAAAATCGTGTATACATTGTCATTATGAAAAAACAAAAACAAAATATGCAATAAATTTTTATGACAGTAATTATTGTTATTATTAATAGGTACTCTTAATTATAATAGCAGAGGTGTACAATAATTTATTACATAATTTAAGAGAATTAAATTGTGTCTTCTTGGTGGTTTAGAAGATAATGAAACAATCGATTTCCTGAATGCTTTTAATTTACAAAACAATGTTGTAATTAATTTTTTCTTTTTATTGTTAATATTGATTTAATATTAAATTTTATTAAGTACTCATTTGAGTTTCGGATATTTCTCTTTTTTTCCCTTTTGTTGTGCTGAAAACATTTTGAAAATATCGAATTCTGTTTTGCAATTTTTAACATTTTTACATGTCAATTATATTACATGTTATGTAAGCGATATTTTACAAGCATGATATGTAAATGAGGTGAAAATTGGAAAAAAAAAATCTTAACTAATAAATACCACAGTAATAACGTTGTATTTATTAAAATGTATGCAAGTGCATATAAAATACAGTGTAAATTAGCAAATTACATAATTGTTATGTAACTGTTGTGAAATTGCAAGTGTTTTTGTGAAAAATTATATGTATGTAGTTCGAAATTAATTTAAAAAATTTAACAAAATTGATTTCATTGTTATACGTAATGTTGAAGATAAGAAAATTGATTATTTAGGTAAACGTATTTTAATAATATGTGTATTGCGTGTTGTGTATGTACATACTCGTATGTCGGTACATATATACATATGTACAATATTAAAAAACATATTATTTTAAAAATGCGATTACTTTGCATCAGCTGCATGGCTTCTGGGATAATGAATAAATAAATACATAAATAAAGTGTATAACAAATTTTATTTGTTATATGTACATATAAGAATATAATATAAACATTTTGTTATATTAGAAAACATTTTTATTAATGTTCTATTATATAATAAATATTTTTAATTATATTAAATTATAAAAATTAATTTTACTTATTTTTAATTATTTTATATTTTCATTTTCAGGCCGATGTGGAATGCATTACTTAAATCAGTACGTTGTGAAATTATAAGCTTTTCTCGAAACGATAACATAGATGCATATGTTTTGAGGTAAATTTATTGTTTCTTGTCTTTTTTTCACATATTTAATGACTCAAATTGAAATACTATTTATTTAACTTCACACTCTAAATTTTAGTGAAGGGTACATTTATATTAATTTTTGCAAGGAGTTTTATTACTTAAAGAAGTTTTTTCGAGGGTTAAACGTTTATTAAACACAGTTAGTATAAAATTTGGCACAATCAGTATAAAACAAACAATAAACCTTTGAAATTGATTACTTTCTGTTTTCTGTCAAGGAGGACAGCTAATTGTAATTAAACTGGTTCGGGTAGCTACCAAACAGCCTTTAAAAGCTAATGTTAAATATGTGAAACAATAATAAAGCTAGGTACATGAAGTTTGGGCGTTATGTATCCAATTACAGGTCAGACGTATTCTAAAAGTTTTTTTTGGAAGTGCTTCTCAGTATCCATGCTAAGGTCTGGGATCTCAATATCAATGGTATTGCTTCCATGCAATTCAAAGAACTAATTTTAACTGATTGTTATGATATAGGGTATAATTCAGTCGTCTAAGACTGACTTGTTAGTACTTGTTTTTTTTTTTTTTTTGTTGCAATGAACTCATTTTTATTTGAAAAAGTGAAAAAAAAATTCCTATTTTTTTTCTTTTATTTTTTTCTTTCTCTATTGAAAAAAATTTCATTTGAAAAACTAAAAGTATCGTTCTATGAATAGAAAAATGTTTTCATTTTAAATATTATAGAAAAGGTAGAGAGAAATGTAAAATGCTTATACATATATGTACTTTTATGTACTTGCATAACATTAATATTGTATACAAGTGCATGTTAGGTATATAACGTGAATCATTTAGGAAAAACAATAAAAGATTTATGAATTGCACAAAAAAAAATTTATTTTAGTTCCTCAAGTCAAATAAATTTTATTTTTAATTTTAGTATGTATGTGTGTATGTATGTAAATGATTTGAATTTTTTTTAATTTAACAATTTTGACAAATTAAAAATCGTACTTAAAATTAAGGAATAAAACATTTAAACGTACACACAACTTACTTGTGATTAAATTTAGTGCATGTACATATGTGTGTATGTAACAGTACAGTGTGGTGAATTTTAAAAAATCGATTTAAGAGTAATTATTTTTTTTTGTTGTTAGGGTTTTAAAGTTGATTCGAGGTTTTATTTCTTCTACAATTTTTGAAAAAATTGCAGTAATGATATATAATCATATATAGAGATATATAATTTTTCTTTCAAAAAATATCTATTATAAATTATAACAATTGTAAATTGGGTATTTTCTAAAACATTTAATATTAGATTTTCAACAAAGTTTATTGATTGGATCAAGGAACCCAAATCTTTAGTGTTATCGTGAGAGGTGTAAAAAATGTCCTCGTTGGTTTGGTATACATATAACAACATGGAGGCCGCGTCAATCTTGGGAATTTATTATTGGGCTAATATTGTACTTATGTTGCCGAGTTAATGAATTTAAAATTATATGAAAATCACATAGCATGTTGAGTTGTTTACAATGAAATAGTGGAATTTTCATGTCTTTGTACCGTTCAATTAATTTATTTCGTAGTCAACTTAAATGTATTTTTTAATTGATTATAGATTTTCAGTTTGCAAATTCGACTGTTATATTCCTTAATTACTTCACTAAAGAGCTGAGCTTAAAAATAATTACCATTATTCGGATGTCGAACTTTTAATAATTACATGTCAAACCCAGTTTCAGCGAAAAAGTAAATATCAAAAAATCACTATGCATTTAGTTGCGTACTTACAATTTTGTAATTCATTAAATGTAATGAAAATTGTTTTTTTCTTTTGTGCAACGAAAAATAAAAATTAGAAGATTCTTTTCTTAAATTTTTCGGAAATTGTAAAAGGAAAAAGAAAAATTAAACTGTAAAGCAAAATAAGAGGAAAGAATAAAAAAGGAAAATCATTATACATACATTTTGTCGTCTCTTACTTACTTATTCTTGAATATAAATGTGTAAACTAATTTCCTTTACCATATTATTACAAATTTTACAGCATTACATTTGAATGTATGTATGTATACATACCTACATACATAAATACATACATATACAAGAGTATGAAAAAATCCTTTTTGACAATGGGTAAAAAGACTAAAGTAAAATCTAAAAAGAAAAATTTTTTGAAGGTTAAAAGTAAAATACAAAAAAATAAATCGATTTTTCCTTTTCTTTTCTTTCGTTTTGGTTTGTTTTACAAGCTCTTTCAAAAGAGTTTACATAGCCATATACATATGTACTTTATATTTTATATAAAAATTGTAAATTTGAGAAATACATCCATATTATGTACATAAAAGTATGATTGCAAATTGGTTTTTGCGATTCTTTCATACATTTACATGTACATATATTTAAATTTTCACTAAGCAGATTCTGGACTTATATAACAATGTGGAATGGATAGTAAAGTGTAGGCGTCTTATTACACAACAAACACTTTTTTCTCAGATTTTCACATAATATTAATATTATGGTTCAAAATATAATCTAAATTATAATAACATACACATACTTATACATACGAATATTAAAATTTATATGTGTGGGAATAAAAATTAATTTAATTATGTTTTTGGTAAAGGATCGTAAATTTCAAAATACTTTTTTGTGAATTTTAGTAGAAAATATTGTATTTGTGCGAATTTAATGTAATCAGAATAAAAAGACAAGAATAAAAAAGAAGTATGCCTTATCATTGAAAATTACGTTTAACACAATAGTCTAATTCAATCACTTCTTTTTAATTACTGAGTATTTTAAGTTGTACTTGCATTTCGGTGTTTATCCTTACAAAAGTAGGTGTAAGTATTTCTTATGTGGAAATAAATTTCACTCTAAATAAAAATAATGGTTCTTTTTACCTAAGATTTTAATTTAAATAATTTTTATTCTTAATTAATGAGATAATATATATCTTATTTCCTTTCATATCGATCGTAATCAGGTTTCATTACCTTATTTTAATTACATAGTGACGTTTCATTCCTTTTTTCAATAAACAAAATTTGTAGTTTTGTGATTATCAAATTTCTGTCATGCTTTTTGAATTTAAAAAATTTTTTATGTGAACAAAATAATCTACTGTAATCTATATAAATCGAAGACAAGTCTTTTTTGTTGTTTCGTTATAATTTTCTCAACTAATTTGTTATTAATTTTTTTTTTACCGAGAGGAAGGGTGAAAAATCTCGAAAGACACTGCCAGACGAAAAGCAGTAGTGTGGTACTTTAATCCACTAAAAAACACCCTCCTCAAAATAAACTATAAAACTAGTCGAAAACGACTAACCATTAATTTTGCTCTAACTTTTTTGATTATTTACAAACTTTTGATCTGGCACAATAGCGTACTAAGTACTCATTGTTTCAGATAAAAAACTTTAAACAAACTCGAGAGGTCTCGTACGTTTAAGTCTCCTAACAAATCAACTTTTGATTGTCAACCAATCGAGCCGCCTCGATGTTGACATGATTGGATAAACGCATTTTATGATTGGCTGCTTGCTTCTTAATTTCGTCTGTGACACTTAGGATCGTGAGATCCCTGTGTATATCGGCATTACGGACATACCAAGGGGCGTTTACAATGTCCTGTAATACTCTATTCTGAAATCTTTGTATAGATTGGATATGAGTCTGCGCAGCGCAGCCCCATAACTGAATACCGTATTTAAACCCAGACAGGCTTAAATATTTGATTATATATCAAAACTTTGTTGTATATTGTCAATTTAGAACTCCTCCCCAAAAGCCATTCAAACTTTCTGTATTCATCCTCTAGTTGAAATCATTTTGAAACTAATTCGGCAACACATGAAATTTTGCTCAAAATTAAAATCTGAAATTAAAGTAGATAAGTTAAATTTTGCAATTTATGTTTATGTATGCCACCTATCTTCAAAATATTCATAATAATTGCAATAAATATCTATTAATTAATAATATAAAATACTTTGAATAGTTTTTTGTATTAACATTTAAACAACAAAAAAAAAAAGAAGAGTGAAAAAATAAATAAAATAATCAAAATATTTATTTTGTATGTTTGTACACAAAAATTTTAAATAAATATTTTAGTTTCACTACAAAATTTATTAGTGAATAATAAGCATTGAATTTGTGTATAAAAATAATAAAAATAATTTGGTATACTCACAGAAACTAAAAATATTGTCAAATGTATATAACAGTTTCCTGGGAAAAAACTTTAAAAAATGTAAATAAACAAATTTTAGTTGCCAAAAACTTAATAGTGTTTTTTTGTTTTGGCAAAAGATATAAATCATATACATATACATAGTGCAAGAGGTTGTGTGTGTATGTCATACATAATGCATTTTTGGCAAATGTTTGACAACAAATTATAATTAAAATACATTATTTATCTATGAAATATTTCATTAATTTTAGTATTGTTGTATCCTTAAATATTGCAGTATAAAATTAATTTTTCGATTTCTATTAAATATAAGAGCATGCATAGTAGTAATAATGTAAGATTTAAAAAAATTTAAATCTTACATTATTACTAACACCTATTGATAATAAAAAGATAAAGGCAGCCAAACGATGTGCGATAACATTATGTAGGTAGTTCAGTATAACAGTTCGGTAAATTCCCAAAAACAAAAGAAAGAGTTTTCAAACTGCACAATGGTTTTTCTTTTTTTATCTATTTTTATATTTTTTTATTTTCACTCCCTGTGATTATAAATTAGATTAGTTACCGTACCAAATCCCATTTATAAAATAATAAAGTCAAAAATATAATAATGTACTAAATCGGGAAATTCCCTAAATGTTTTAATTTTATTTTATTTTTGAAATGACTAAGTGCATTAGAACCCCTTAATTCTTCATTTAATTGATTTTATTTAACAACTTTACAACTATTACTGCCAACTGTCAACAAAATTTTAGAGAATACCCAGAAATGAACATTATAATGGGCGATTTTAATA